TTATTATTATTATTATCATTATTGTTATCATTATTATTGTTATTATTGTTATTATTGTTGTTATTATCATTATTATCATTATTATTATCATTATACTGCTATCATTATTATTTATACTATTATTGGTTTATTTTACTGTAGTATTAGTTGTATCATTATTAGTAGTATCATTATATTCATTTGTATCATTTCTATCTCTTTATCATTATTATCATCATCAATAGCAGCAGAAGCATCTTCATTATTACCATCACCTTTACCATCATCATCATCATCATCATCATCATCATCATCATCATCATCATCATCATCATTATCATCACCATCATCATCATCATCATCATCATCATCATCACCATCACCATCATCATCATCACCATCATCATCATCACCATCATCATCATCACCATTATTATCATCATCATTATCATCACAATCATATTCCTCATATCCAACACCATCATTATTATCGTTATTGTCACCATTGTTGTTATCATTACCATTATCATTATTATCTATATAATCATTATTCCTATTATTTCTGTTGTTGCCTGTTATTACTACAGGTATTGATAGTGCTATTGTTGCAATTATTAATGTCATTATCAATCATCATCATTTTCATTAACAGATGCAATATCACTTCTCAAAATCATACCCATCATTCTTATTATATATCAGCATTGTCACTTTCTTCTTTCAATAGATTCACAGTTGCATGATATAACTTTGCAACATTTAAGATTTTCTGTGTGGCTCTTCTATAAATATGTAATATTCTATTACATCTTGAGACATATTTAAAGGAGAAGAAGGGGGGGGATGATGTGAATGGGGTAATGGGATAGGTGAGTAAGTGGGTGAATGAGTAGGTGAGTGAGTGAGTGAGAGTGAGAAGGAATGAATGAAAGTGGGTAAGAGTGAGAGTGGGTAAAGGATAGAGAGTGAGAGTGAGTGAGTGAGTAAACGAATGAGAGAGTGAGACCGAGTGAGAATGAGAATAAGAGTGAGTAAAGGAGAGAGAGTGAGTGAGTGTGAGTGAATTGGTGAATAAATGAGTGAGTGAGTAAGTGAGAGGGTTAATGCCTGTTTATGCAATAAAAAAGGAACCTCTAATAAAAATACAGAACTGCCTTTCATTTTCTTTTTATTTCAGTAGTTATAAAAAAGGTTTTCTTACAGCTGGGCAGTCAAGAGTTTCTCGCCCATCATAAAACGCAGTGTGACAGACAGGCATCGCCCCTATTACGTCACAACCTGTATCACTGCGTCACACTTACGTCATTGCGTTGAAAGCGAACGCACATAGATACACACACACATGCACACTGTTCTCATGCGCATGGAATACAAAGCTGTAGGGTTACATCTAAATAATTTCTCACCTATATATATACACCAAAGATAAGATAAGAAAAAAAAACAACAACACTATTCTTTATATATGTCTAAGCTCCACAAAATTCCGCAGAGTTAAAATGCAAAGATGAAAATATACTCTATTTTAACTCGCCGATTGCAGTGAAGCTCCTGTCATCTTTATACAAAAAAGAGGTGTTAATGTCATATCATAAGAACGAGGATCATGAACAACAGAAAAGTGAAGAGATGAGTAATAATCATAATAAATAATCTTGGTTAAAATGCCATCCAGAAATAAAGAAAGCTATACTAACCTATTCTCTACACGTGCGTCATAACACAAGCTAAAAAAAGGTTAATAGCCCTATTATATATATAAAAGAAAACAAGTATGTATATCCATACACACGTGAGTACATATACATTATATTTAGTCTATTAACCAAATGTTAAAGGAAAACCTCCAAACTATATTTATAAAGCAAGTATTACCACAATACCTAAAATTTCCTCGCGGAGAAAGACTGACACAGGATAAAGCTTAATTCTACAATTGAAATATAAAACTACAAAAACTCTTTTACATTTCCTATATCTCTTCTAATTCTGTATTACTTTTTTTTTTAATTAACTCTCACTCACATACTTACATACGCACACACTATGCTTTAATATTTCACCCATGTACGTGCACACAGACGCTAACACACGCACACAGAACGTATCAATGCCGTAATATTGGAACATTTGCATGGAGCCTCAAGGGAACTCCATCGGGCTAATTTCACCTCTGTGTCACTATCGCATAAGGTTCCAAATGCCTCAGCACCGTTTGAATAATTCCGTTGCTGGATGCGAGACTCAGATATTAGACTTTGAGAACAAAATCGTTTTAGCAAATATTAACTTTATCATTGATCCAAAGTGCAGCTACTTTCTTTAATCGTTAAGAGTGATATTCGTCTGAAACTGACATTTTTTGTTCTTTTCGGGTTTTATATATATATATATATATATATATATATATATATATATATATATATATATATATATATATATATATATATATATATATATATATAGTACATGTCTATATGAACGGGAGCTTATATTCCTTGCCGTTAACAAGTCTACTATGTCACCTTACTCTACGAGGGCTGGAAATATCTTAAGGCCTATAGTGCTTCTTCAAAATCTGCCAAATTTATATCCATGGGATGTATCGCAGTGTTGCCAATACAGCAACGCGACGTACAAACCCAGTATAGAAAATAAAAGAGCAGTATTGTTTGTTCTTCGTAATGAAGGTTCATAAATAGTATTTTCTTGCCAAAGGCTTCCAACTAAAGAAAACATGTATGTACATATACATACATATATATATATATATATATATATATATATATATATATATATATATATATATATATATATATATATATATATATATATATATATACATACATATACTCATTTATTCATTATAATAACACAGTTTGTAAGCACCAGTGAACACTTTTCTCCTACGTTTTCACTGTGTTCACTCGTGTTATTTATGAATCTTCAACAGAATAGCCACCTGATTCAAGAGACCGAGAAACACGTGAATGCCTTCTTGAGACGTGACCTCAGACCCTTCCTTATAGAAGCGCCTTTGAATAAACGGGTCAGCGGGTCAACAGCCTTCATCTACGACACTTTCAAGATAGGGTTGTCAACTCTATGTTTAGGTAGATGATCGTTAATGAATCCGTTCTACCGTAGTAGTGTCTACTTCCCGGTAATTGAACGTTAATTAATGATCTAATCATCTACCTTTTGGCACAAGGAATCCTGCATACAGAGAGCAGCCACAGCGGAGCTCAACCTACGGCCATTTTTTTTTTCATTTTTTCGTTTTTGTTACAGTTTTTACATTGTAAAAGCAATAAATATAAGACAAAATCTCCATACCATTTGTGGAATAAGAATGTCATCAGAGAAAAAGCGTCGCTTGAAGAGAGGTTTAGAAAAAACTTGAAAGGAAAACCGGAGAGACTATCCCTATGACGTCATGGGCTCGCTTTTCAGAACGTTTTGATTTCATTTATCTTTTGATGCTTTTGTATAGTTTTTTATATAGTTCTCCATATCAATAAAAAACAAATTGGAATCAGAACAACATCTAAGTCAGTCTTCAAATTCCAATAAAAATAAATTCATTCCTTTTGAAAAAATAAATAAATAAACCAGGAGCCCACGACATAAGCACATAAAGAAAGAAATGACAGACGAAGAGAAGAAGAGAAACAGAGAATAACAGACAAGCCATTCGGACGATCTCTGCTGCTGATGACGTCAGACGAAAATATTCAGCCACGCCCCTTTTATGTGGCTCCTCCCCCCCACACACACGCTAGTGCACACCACCCCCTTCGGAACGCAAAGGAGGGTGTGTATGAGTGTGTATTAGGAGGGAGTATAAGGGGGGGGCATCTTCGAGTAGGTTGTGAGGACTACGTTGACGTTTTTGACTGATTACCCGTAGCTGTGAGGAAGAGAAAGGAAATGAGAACTTGTTTTGCTTGTCGTTATTATTTGTTACTTTTGATGTTGTTAATTATCTGTATTTTTTTTTCATTGTTTCGCTTTGATATTCGTGATACTTTAGTTGTTGTTGTTGTTTTTAGTATTATTATTTCTTTGCCTTTTTTTTTTTTTTTTTTTTTTTTTTGCTTTGTTTTCGTTTTTTATGCGTTTTTACTCTCTTTTTTGTGATGATTATCTAAAACTGATTTGTCATAGAACAGAACTTTATCACCATCTCTAACTATGTAATTACGACCAGTATAGTAAAAAAAAAATACATATATGAATATCATATTTATTTTCATATATCTAAATCTTATTCCAATGTTTAAGGTCAATACTGATATAACTGATATGATACTAAAAGACATTAAGTGAAATGGACAGTTGAAAACTAAATAACGTATCTAACAAACAATGAAAACATAATCACAATGCAAACAAACTAATGCCAATCAATACAACATCACGTAAACAAAACAAGGAAATCGAATAAAGTATATGTATAATACAATAAAAGAGAAGCTTAATTTGAAGTTTATCAAACACTACAACGAAAGAAAAAAAATCAATGTCTTTGATTTTCACACGCATGCAACCTTCAATGCTTTCAGTGGAATAAAATAAGTGATTAATAATAATACTTAATACAAATAAACTCCATGCACGAAAATGCAAATAGTACAAGCTTCAATGTGCAGAGTAAACAATGCAGCATACAATATGTTATACTGGATATTGAGTAAATTCTTACACGCTGATATAGAAAAGATATCACAAAAATAAAATATAGTAGAAAAAATATATATATAGTAGAAAAAAAATAGAAAAAAAATATGTGATGGGAAAAAATGTATAATGAAAAATAGGTGTTGGAAAAAAAATGCAGTGACAACAATAAAGAAGGGGTGTTGTCACGTTAACAAAAGTATGACAAAAAACTCAAAGATTCATACGATCTCTTGGCCATTAGAAGTATTAGTCAGGTGATATTTAAGGGACTTTTGGCTGGAGAGGAAGGGGTGTTAGTAAAAGCAAAGTCATTGTCAACTCATATACTAATACTTAAAAAAAAATACTACGTTGTATTAGTAATTATAATAGCAACTACAGCTAATTCTAAAATGCCATTCTTAACTGCTAGAGCTACAATAACCACTACTACTAAATCTACCACTACGACTACTGGTATTTCTATTACTACTGGTATACTATTACTATTACTATTACTAAAATTGTTAGTCTTGCTACTACGTTTGTTGTTGCTGTCATTACTACTACTGCCACTACTACTACTACTATTACTACTACTACTACTACTACTACTACTACTACTACTACTACTACTACTACTACTACTACTACTACTACTACTACAGCTGCTGTTGCTGCTTCTGCTAGAACTACGATTGCTATTTCCACTACTACTACAACTATTTCACTCACGACTGTAATTACCAAAAAAAAACTCTTTAAGCATGTTATTTACATGTTATTTACAGCATTAACGTGGTCATAACTTACAAGGTGTTACTGTCAGTCGGTCTGTGTCTGTTTGTTATAACCAGCGCAACACGACGAACGAGGGAGAAGAGGGAGGAGAAAGAAGAGGAGGAAGAAGAAGGGGTAAGAGGAAGAAGAGTGAGATGGAGAAAGGAGAAGAAAGAGAAAGGGGAAGGTAAAGAGAAAATAGAAAGAGTAGGGGACAGGGAGAAGGATAGGGAAGGGAAGGGAGAAAGAGGAGGATGAGAGAGAGGAGAAAGGTGGGTAAGGCGATAGAGGAAAGGGAGGGGGAAAAGCGAAGGGGAAACGAAAGGAAGGGGAAAGGGAAAGGTAATATGGTCCAAAAGTTTTATTTCTCCCCCTTTTTCTTTTCTTTCTTTTAGTCATTGAACAACTGTTTATTGACTCTTGTTAATTTGTTATATTATCTGTCATAACAGCAGAGTTCATGTCCATTTACATTTATAGAAAAAAAATTCTTATAAAACCGAAGGTGGTGGAGGATGAGAAAAGGGATAGAAGAAGAAGAAAAAGAAGAAGAAGAAGAAGAAGAAGAAGAAGAAGAAGAAGAAGAAGAAGAAGAAGAAGAAGAAGAAGAAGAAGAAGAAGAAGAAACAAGGATATGGAAGAACAAGAGAATGAGAGAAGGGAAGATAGAGAGAACGAAGAAAAAGAGTAAGACAGCAAGATAGAAAGCAGGAAAGATAAAAGAAAAATCATAGGGAAGAGAAAAAGAAAAGAAACAAGAAATCAACGAATGAAGGAAAGAATGAAAATAAGTAAAGAAAGAAGTAATCAACGAATGAAAAAAGAAGGCAAGTAAGAAAATAGATAAAAGAAACAGGCAATCACCTTCTTCAAAACAACAGCTTGCAAACAAACAAACAAGTAAAAAAAAACTCATGCAAATCGCCAGCAGAAAGAGCTCGCCAGTTCGTTAGCAAACAAAAACAACAAAAAAAACATAACACAAAAATACGACATTTCTACAACGAACGCAACTACAATTAAAACCACGCGCGTGCGGGAGCGTTAGTTAAGAACGACGGAAATAACGTTTGATAATAACGCGCGAGGAATAGGAGGGAAGAAGAGAGAAAGAAAGAGAGGGGGAGAGAGAGGGAAAGAGAAAGGGAAAGGGGGGAGGAAGAGGAAGAGGGGAAAGGGAAATGAGGAGAAGGAGAGGGAGTGAAGGAGAGAGAAAGAGAGAATAGAAAAAAAAGTGAAGCGAATCGAGAAAAAAAAATGAAAGAAAAAAAAAAAGGAGAAAGTAAGAAAGAAAATAACTCAAAAAAGAAAAGAAAAATCACCCTAAGAGAAATCATAATCTACCACGCAAATTCAATCCAATTCAACCTTCTCAAAAAAAAAAGAAAAGAAAAAAAAAAGTTAAAAAAAATAATAAAAAAAATAAATCTTACAGGGCGCACTTCCCCTTCGAGGCGTTTCCTTAGTCTTGGAGCTGCTAAACCAACCGCCTCCGAATACTTTGCCAAGGAGACCGCTACCGCTACAAGAGGGGGGGGAGGGGGGGAGGGGGAGGAGGAGGGACAATTAATATCAATATCATTTTTTGAAAACAGTAGAAGAATATCTAAAAAAAAAAAGAAAGAAAAAGAAATATATGATGATAATGAAGGATGGATGCGAGATGTATGGATGTGAAGGTAGATTGGTGAGAAAAAATGATAATGACACATAATTGATAAAATGTGAATAGAAAGGGGAATGGGGGTAGGGGGGAAGAGGGACATTAATATCAACATCATTTTGGAAAGAACAGGAATTATGGAAAATGATGATAATGAAGGGGAGGAAGAAAGAGAAGATTGGTTAACGAAATGAATATGGATATGAAAGTAGATTCGTAAAAAAAATAATAATAGATAATTGATGTAAAAAAATATATATGAATGAACGTTTTGAAAAGATCAGAATAATATATATATAAAGAATATTAGAATAAAGGGAGGAGGAGAAGGAGGAAGAGAGATTGGTTTAAGAAATGAAAATGGATGTGGAAGATGATAATGAAGATGAATAATCGATGTAAAAAATAATTAATAGAAAGGGGGGAGGGGGAACAGTAATATCAACATTGTTTTGGAAAGAGTAGAAGAATAAACAAAAAAAATGAAAATGAAGGGGGGAGGGGGCAAAGGAGGAGAGACATGTATAAGGAATGAATGAGGATATGAAGGCAGATCGGTAGAAAAAAAATGATAATGACAGATAATTGATAAAATGTGAATAGAAAGGGGAATGGGGGTAGGGGGGAAGAGGGACATTAATATCAACATCATTTTGGAAAGAACAGGAATTATGGAAAATGATGATAATGAAGGGGAGGAAGAAAGAGAAGATTGGTTAACGAAATGAATATGGATATGAAAGTAGATTCGTAAAAAAAATAATAATAGATAATTGATGTAAAAAAATATATATGAATGAACGTTTTGAAAAGATCAGAATAATATATATATAAAGAATATTAGAATAAAGGGAGGAGGAGAAGGAGGAAGAGAGATTGGTTTAAGAAATGAAAATGGATGTGGAAGATGATAATGAAGATGAATAATCGATGTAAAAAATAATTAATAGAAAGGGGGGAGGGGGAACAGTAATATCAACATTGTTTTGGAAAGAGTAGAAGAATAAACAAAAAAAATGAAAATGAAGGGGGGAGGGGGAACAGTAATATCAACATTGTTTTGGAAAGAGTAGAAGAATAAACAAAAAAAATGAAAATGAAGGGGGGAGGGGGAACAGTAATATCAACATTGTTTTGGAAAGAGTAGAAGAATAAACAAAAAAAATGAAAATGAAGGGGGGAGGGGGAACAGTAATATCAACATTGTTTTGGAAAGAGTAGAAGAATAAACAAAAAAAATGAAAATGAAGGGGGGAGGGGGAACAGTAATATCAACATTGTTTTGGAAAGAGTAGAAGAATAAACAAAAAAAATGAAAATGAAGGGGGGAGGGGGAACAGTAATATCAACATTGTTTTGGAAAGAGTAGAAGAATAAACAAAAAAAATGAAAATGAAGGGGGGAGGGGGAACAGTAATATCAACATTGTTTTGGAAAGAGTAGAAGAATAAACAAAAAAAATGAAAATGAAGGGGGGAGGGGGAACAGTAATATCAACATTGTTTTGGAAAGAGTAGAAGAATAAACAAAAAAAATGAAAATGAAGGGGGGAGGGGGAACAGTAATATCAACATTGTTTTGGAAAGAGTAGAAGAATAAACAAAAAAAATGAAAATGAAGGGGGGAGGGGGAACAGTAATATCAACATTGTTTTGGAAAGAGTAGAAGAATAAACAAAAAAAATGAAAATGAAGGGGGGAGGGGGCAGAGGAGGAGAGAGAGAGAGAGAGAGAGAGAGAGAGAGAGAGAGAGAGAGAGAGAGAGAGAGAGAGAGAGAGAGAGAGAGAGAGAGAGAGAGAGAGAGAGAGAGAGAGAGAGAGAGAGAGAGAGAAGGGGAAAGTAAATGTAGAAACAAAATAAAACAAAACGTTTTGAACTCTGATATTATAATTTTCCCCTGGCAATTTCCCTCACAAACAAACAAACAAGAAAGAAATTTATATCAGAAAAAAATCGCACAATATTTATTTTTCCCTCACGTAATTTCCATTCACAAATATCCCTCGTTTCTTTGTTTTTGTTTTTTTTACATTTTTATGTAATATTCATTTCAATTTCCTCATTTCTTCTTTTGATTTTTATTTATTATTATTATTTTTTTTTTTACAATTTTCGCGTAAGGGATACCTCGGAAGGCACCAGATGGAAGGGCAGAGCAATAAGACCAATGGCCGTGAGTGCCAGTGCCACATTCGGGGGGAGAAACTTAAAGAAGAGAAAGAAAACGGTGGCGTAGGTAAGGTAAGTGAGGCTAGAATAAAAAAAAGAAAAGAAAAAGAAAAATGAAAAGTTGGTTTTTGTTGGTTTATTGTCACGATTCATATTTTCGTATTATCATAATTATTATTTTTGTTGTTATCATCATTCCCATTATCATCTTATTATTATTATCATAATTATCATTTTATTATTATTATTGTCATTATTATTATTATTATTATTATTATTATTATTATTATTATTATTATTATTATTATTATTATTATTATTATTATTATTATTATTATTATTATTATTATTATTATTATTATTATCACTTTTATCATCTCCCTCCATTTTCGAAGTAAAAGAGTACTTTCAGAATTAATTAAAATACGCTATTTCGATATGCTTATCTTTCGTGGATTTTCTTCTTCTTCTTCTTTTTATATCTAAACGTAATGACAATTAATAAAATAGTATCGCTATATGTTGATAAACAAGCGGATGAGAGAACTGACATAAGAGAGAGACAGAGAAAGAAAAACATCAGGTTCCTTTTTCTTCAAAAAACATTAAGAAAACCCTAATTGAATATAATAATCAACACGACCGTAGAATTAGTGCAGAGAACAGAAATGATCATTTGAAAAAAATAGTATAAAAAAGTACATAATTTCTCTCACATCAATACGTATATTATGAACATTTAGGCTAAAATGAATGAATAAAGTCTTAATCTATATACATACAAGATTAAATATGTACATAAATCATATAGATACATATACATTTTACACAAATATACACATAATTAGACTCTTATATACATCAGATGCAGGCGTTTTTATATAAATGATGGCTGGTATAAATTGCCGTTATGGACAGCATTCACTCTAATTGCAATAATCCCTTTTATATATTCTATTTTCTAACGCCAATAGAACTTGGATGATTCAAAACAATAGATTGAAATAATCCCATGAAAATGGCAACACACATGCTGCGAAATTGTTGTAAAAACTCATTAATCGCGGGTTTGTAATGATGATTTCTGTTGCAGCTATTGCTAATGCAAATGGCCTCTTTTATTTATTTTCCTTTATTTAGAATAAAAATCCTTAACACATTCTTAATTATAGACAAAAAATTATTATAATCGAAACTACATCTGTTCAAACTACCTTTAGAAACAATATAAACATAATTCATGCTTCAATCTGGCACCTCAAAACAGAAAGGAAATTTTGCCAAGGTTAATTCTTGGCGTGAAATTAAAACATTTCTCTTCGCAATATCAACATGAACGCTGCAAAGGCATATAAAGTGAGCGACACATTTTAAAAAACAAAAATGAAAAAAAATGAAAGTCTTAGTTTTTTTTTAATTCATATAATCATGGTAATGTGCTTTTTTTAATTAATATAAACCTTGTTAATGACAAAATGCCATCGTCTTTTTAGAGCGTTCAGAGTATTCTAGTTCAGCAAAATAACCTTTCTACGTTACGTTTAATTTCATACATGAACGCAGCTTAGTGATGTTATCAAATGTTTAACAAATATACGAATGAATATATTTTAAGAAATAAGAAGCATATAAGGATATTTTAACAAACAGTGCAACATTGCATATAACTATTTAATTAATAACTATATACGACAATAGCTTTGCAATTTGTCAGAATTACGTGTAAAAAATGGCGCGTTTTTTACACACAGCCAAAACAAAATCGCAGCGCTTGGCGTGTTATTCTCACAGCGTTAATTTCACCAGCCATTTCACTCCATATAAATACACGTCTATGCATCTTTTCAAAAACATTTAACAAGCTGCTATTACACATATGCAACAGAAGCATATATAACAGATTTGTACTGGAACATTCTAAGAAACTAAGAACTATAACTAAAACAATGAAAAGAATGGGATAAAAAGTGAATAAAGTGAAAGAACAAAAGATATATATATATATATATATAATATATATATATATATATATATATATATATATATATATATATATACATATATATACATATATATATACATATGTATATTCATATATATATATACATATATGTACATATATATGTATGTTGTGTGTGTGTGTGTGTGTGTGTGTGTGTGTGTGTGTGTGTGTGTGTGTGTGTGTGTGTGTGTGTGTGTGTGTGTGTGTGTGTGTGTGTGTGTCTGTCTGTCTGTCTGTCTGTCTGTTTGTGTGTGTGTGTGTGTGCGTGTTTGTGTGTGTGTGTGTGTGTGTGTGTGTGTGTGTGTGTGTGTGTGTGTGTGTGTGTGTGTGTGTGTGTGTATGTATGTATGTGTGTGTGTGTGTGTGTGTGTGTGTGTGTGTGTGTGTGTGTGTGTGTGTGTGTGTGTGTGTGTGTGCGTGCGTGCGTGCGTGTGTGTCTACTATCATAAAAAAATAAATCATAATAATAAAAATAATGATAATAACAATGACAACAATAATGATAATAACAATATAAATAAATATACAAATAAAAAAAAGAAACGGAACGTCAGACTCACCCCGACTTGGGCGTCTCCTCCTCGGCCGAAGCCCCGATGGACTCCGACAGGCTGACGCGGTCCTGAGAATTACTGGAGGAGGTGCTGCTGGAGTCGTTGGAGGAGGCCAGGGAGCTCTGGGAGGCCATGTAGTGAGGGTGGGAGGGACTCTTGTTGAGGCCATACTCCGCCTTGAGCTTGGCCATGTCCTCTTCAAGGCTCTGGATGACCTCCTCGCGACGCTGGAGGGCCATGCGCATCGCCTCGCTCTCTTGTCGGTACTGTGAGGGGTGGGGGGGGGAGAGGAAGAAAGGAAGGAGGGGAGAGAGAGGGACAGAGAGAGGAGGGAGGGGAGAGAAAGATATTGTTAATAGTATTATCAAAATATATAATGGAGTACATATACTGGATGATCTGTGTTGTAAATGTATCTATACACATATATAAGCTGTGAACACATAAAGGAGCTTAAATGAAGCCCAATATATTGGGTTTCATATATATATATATATATATATATATATATATATATATATATATATATATATATATATATATATATATATATGAGAAAATATATGTACGAGAACAAGACGAGACTTCATAACATAAGATTTTTTTTTCTTTTGATTCGTGCCATCGTCGATGCGGTGTTTAACTACTTGGCGCTCTGTTGAAATGCAATCGACAAAAGCCCCATGCATACAGCAACGCAAATAAACACCAGTAAAAGCACTCACAATGTTATTACTCGTGACGGCCTCTGTCAGCTGTTCTCTGAGGGTGGCGTTCACGTACTCCAGATGCTTAGACACGAGCACGCGCGCCTCCTCCACGGCTCTGAACTTCTCGGCTTCCAGCTCCTCGCGTAGTCTCTCTGAGGGGGGAGGGAAGGGGGGAAGGGGGTTGTGATTATTGATTTCGTAGTGATGTGATGGTTTTGATTTCCTTTTTCTTTTCTTTTTTTTCTTTTTTTTTTCTTCTTATTTCAATCTTCGTTTGTTTCTTTACTTTTATGTCGTTCTTTCTTTTTTTCTTTCTTTCTTGTTATCTTTTTCTCTCTCTTTTTTTTCTCTTTCTCTGTTTCTCTTTCTCTTTCTCTCTCTCTTTTCTCTCTGTCTCTTCTCTCTCTCTCTCTTCTCTCTCTCTTCTTTCTCTCTCCCTCTCTCTTTCTCTCTCTCTCTCTCTCTCTCTCTCTCTCTCTCTCTCTCTCTCTCTCTCTCTCTCTCTCTCTCTCTCTCTCTCTCTCTCTCTCTCTCTCTCTCTTCCTCTCTTCCTCTCTTCCTCTCTTCCTCTCTTCCTCTCTTCCTCTCTTCCTCTCTTCCTCTCTTTCTTTCTTTCTTTCTTTCTTTCTTTCTTTCTTTCTTTCTTTCTATTTAATTTTCTTTTTCTTTTTCATTTTCTTTTTCGTTTTCCTATTCTCCTTCTCTTTCGCTTTCTCCTTCTCTTCCTCTTTCGCTTTCTCCTTCTCTTCCTCTTTCTCCTTTTTCTCTCTCTCCCTCTCCTTTACCTTGTCCTTCTCCTTTTATTTCCCCTTTTCCCACTCCCTCTCCTTCTTCTTCTCCCTTTCCTCTCCACTTCATTTTTTCCTCCTCCATTTCCTTGTTTTATTATCTTACTCATTCCCACCTCACAACCCTCCAATCTTCCCTATCCTCTCTTCCTCCTCCTTTCTCCTGTTCTATCCTATTCCATTTCCGTCTTTGTGTCTCCATTCCTTTGAGTCTTTCTGTATCCTTTCTCCCTCTCCCTTCCTCTCCTTTTCGTATCTGTCTCTCCCTATCCTCTTTATCTTTATCTTCTTATCCTAATCATAGTCTTCTTCCTTCTTTTCTTTTTTAACCCTCTCTTCTTCTTCTCTCTTATTCCATTTTTTTAAATCTCCATGTCTTTCTCCCTCTGTTCTCTACCTTTCCTTTTCTCATCTGCCTCGCTCTTTTTCTATCCCTACTGCCTCTCTCTCTCCTATTCCTTCTCCCTCTCCTTCTCTCTCTCCTAACTCTCATTCTCCCTCTTCTTCTCTTCTCCCTTCCCCTGCTCCTCCCCTCTCTTTCTCTCTCCATCTCCTTCTCTTTCCTGCCTCCTCTTCTCTTTATCCCTCCCCTCTCTCCTTCTGTCTCTTACTCTCCCTCTCTCTCTTTCTCTTCCTCCTTTTCTTTCTCCTTCTCCTTTCCCTCTTCATCTCCTTCCATCCCATGCCTTAACTTTCTCTCTCTCTCTCTCATTTTCTCTCTCCCTCTCCCTCTCCCTCTCCCTCCTCCTCACCCTCTCCCTTTACCTCTCTTCTCCCGTCTCCACCCCCTTCTCCTCCTCTCGTCACTCACCCTCTCCCACTCCCTCTCCCTCTTCTTCTCCCTCTCCCTCTCCTTCTCCCTCCTCCTTACCTTCTCCCTCTCCCTCTCTCTCTTCCTCTCCCGCTCTTCTCCCTTCTCCCTTCTCCCTCTCTTCTCCCCTCTCCCTCTTCCTTCTCCCTTCTCCCTCTCCCTCTCCCTTCTCCCTCTCCCTTCTCCCTCTCCCTTCTCCCTCCCCTCCTCCTCCTCTCGCCACTCACCCATGCTGAGAGTCTGCTGTTCAGTCAAATGCTCGACCTGTTCCTTGTACATCTTCTCCATCTGAACTCTTGCGTCATCGTCTGGCAGCTGACACGTGGCCGCGTTCAGTCGAGCCTCAAGTTCCTTCACGCGTTCCTCGTGTTCCTCCCGAAGGCGGTCTAGGGGGGGGGGGGTATATGGGGGAAGGGGAAATTAGGGGGGGAAGGGGGGAAGATTGGGAGATTGGGGGGAGGGGGAAAGGGGGGGAGAGAGAGGGGGAAAGGGGGAGGGACAAAGGGGGAGAGATAGTGGGCGTGGATTGAGCGTGGAGAAGGAGAGAAGATAATGGTATTTGTGTGGGGGGGAGGAGGGGGGTAAATTTTCGAAATATTATTATATTGTTTTTTTTCGGGTTTTTCTCTTTCTCTCTTTCTTTCTTTCTTTCTTTCTTTCTTTCTTTTTTTCTTGTTTTGTTTCACTAGTATTTGACTTTGTATCTCATTCTGATTTTCTATCTACTGAATCTATCGATATTTTTCTTTATATATGTATCTATTTATTTTACATATTGTCATATTCTCCATTTAAATATACTCACACACACACACGCACACACACAACTCACCCACCCACCAACTCATCAACCCATCCATTAATAAACCCACCCATTTACCC